GGATTTGATGATTCAGCAGCTAGACTTCCTACTTTAGAACATCTAGATAATCCTGAAACTGAAGCTACCTTTGAGCCCCCAGTAAAGAAAGTGAAGATAGAAAAGTTAGAAAATCCTGAGAAGAATGATAATCTTGATGTCTTGTTGAGAGATGTCTACGTCACTAAAGTTGCAAAACCAAGACCAATACTCTCCAGAGAGTTGAAGAGGAAGTCCATCGATAAATAGGCCTGGAACCAATTCCACTGATGTCGGATCCACTTCTCTGGTGAAAATCATATGAATCAATGCTACCATTATCATTCAGGAAAGCTCGTCAGCTTTTATGCATTCCTGCTACTAGCGTTCCTTCAGAAAGAATATTTAGCACAGCTGGAGACATTTTAGCTGCCCAACGATCCACTTTAAGTCCAAGCACGTTGACCATCTCATTTTTTTGGAAAAGAATATGAAAGTGTAATGAATGTGACATGACATTTTGTTCAATTTGTTTGAGTCTTATTTTTTGTTCCACACACCTAGTAAAAAAACTAGTCATGTACTTATGTGTTATTTTACAGTGCACGAATAAAATATATATTATGTTTCCACTTATTAAATGTTATATGTTGATGAGAACAAAGAGATGTTATTTAACTACGATTTTAATGATAAAACTACAAAAACTTTAAGAGAAAAAAAAGAATATTGCAATATTTATCGCAATATGCCACCAAAGTAGTCAATATGATTTTATGGTATTATCCACTCATAATATGTAGCAATGTTTGTTTTAGAATAATGAAAAAGGTTAAGCTACATTTAACAAACAGTGATCAATCTAAAAAAAAAACCTATACAAATCAACAATACAATACAAATCTGTGAACAGGGCACAATACACGGACTCTCGGAAATTCCAGTGGTGGGATCAGGTGCGAAAGGGAATAAGCATTCCATGTCGACCGGCCACACCCGTCGTAAGCTCATCCATTGGTCAGTAAACTGAATATTTCCTATTCAAAATTAGACCAAAAAAATTAAAATTAAAAAAAAAAGACTTGCATTTGATATGAAATACGACTCAATGATAGGTTATATTTGCTAACAAGGTCATTATAACGACCATAGAAGTAACTCACTTCATTGAGGAATCTTGAAAAAAAATGATAAATATACATAAATAAGAAAAGTTAACGATTGAAAAGCTGAATTCATATGCATCTCGTTTATAATACAATTTAGTTGTTAGTTTGCCATTATCGGCTATAGTCAGTATAACATCCAAATGTGAAACAGATGTGGCAGGCTCTGTAGTGTCTTTTAATTCAAGTTCACTGCATGGCCAAGGATAAATCGAGTCGACATGTATTGTTTACTGATAAAACTGCTTCATAGGAATATAAAAGCAGGTCAGCTAATAAAGACTTTTAGGGGCACAATTAGTGCCCACCGAAATTCTAGCGAATTATTGGAAGACCTGACCTCCAAAGAATACATATATATTGTCAATATTGAAATGACTACATAGATATTGTCAATGAGGAACTCCAGAATCTTTTTAATATAGTCTTCATAGTACGTAAAGAAAGAATAAATGAATGTGTATGTAGAATCAGAATGTTTTTTAACAAAGTAATTTTGTAGATGACCAATCACAAGATATGAAAATTTCATTCTTCTATTTCCATTCAACCATTTCCACATTTCGATTTTTATTGAAGATGCAGTGGTCTATGATATCAAAAAGCCAAGTTTTTATTTTTTCGCCCGAATGGTTGTATAAAGCGTAGAAGAGTCATATGTTTTATACTATTGATGTTTGAAAAGTTTTCAGATTTTATATTATCTAAGAGTCCTTTGGAGTTTTTAGGATCCACATTTATTGAATGAATCGTGTACAAGTAAAAAGCAAGTGAGGTAAAATTATCCCTGAAAAACAGCTTATAACAATACAATATGTCTAAATATGTTTTTTACTTCTTACATTCACCACATTCACTGAAAGGCCATTGACATATCGAAGTCTGATTTTCAAAGTATATTTTACTTAAAGCTGAACACTATTCATAAATAGGCACCGTCATACAGGTATATAAACCCTTCGATTTCGTTACATTCGATTGCACACTTGAAACTCGAGGCCGACTTAGATTTTGTGCATTTATTCCTTCTTTTATGTGTATTTTCTGTTTGTAAATAAAGTATGAACTTGTATGTTTGATGTTACCTTTCTCCTGGCTCGGAAAAAGTGCGTAAAACTTGATAATTTCATCGTGACCGAGTAACACGTTAAAGCAAGATGTACGTCTATACTCGTCAGACCTCTACAGCGAAATACCTTGAACTGTTAAGAGGTCTGCAGCTTATATAGGGGTTGTAGGGGAAAGTGGCGATAAACGAGAAATATGGCGGATAATGCCTTTTACGAGTAGTGTTCAGCTTTAAATTATCATGTTCACTCGGGCATCTCGAAAATTAGAAATGGTATAATTGTAATTCAGAATGAAATTAATTTTTATTACAACATAGTTATAGACCTTTAATAGAAACTCAATCTTATACCTCCTTGTACTGTTTTTATAGTTCCCAAATTAATCAGGTTCTCATTCCTTGGCCTCGTGTTTCGAAAACAAGGTATGATACCATCACCTACATTCACAGTGGATCTGCATGAATATAATTTAGTATTTTTCATGTCCAATGCAATTCCAAGTTTCAGTTATGCTTAACGTCCACCTAAAAATCAAAAACCTATCTTTCTATCGGAACACAAACACAAATTAACAGAAAAAAACACATTATTATAATCCTGATAAAGTTTATTGTATTATCAGTTGATGATTTATCTTAATTGTAACAAAAGTAAATAACCGTTTAGTATATAAAAATCCGAAACTTTGAGACAAAAGTAAAATCAAAATGAAAGTAATAATAGATGCTGACTCCAACTGATTTAACAGCATTATAAATTTTTGTACGTGTAGAATTTTGGTATTTTATTTTTTATTATTTCCATATCTAAAACCAATCCGTTCGCTAAACATAGGTTTTAAAAAAAAAAACTTTGAACGGCCTAATCTAGTATGGCAAGAATGGTCACTAACTTTAGTCCACATGTCAGGTACGTGCGTTAAGAAATTAAAACAATTTATTTGTATATTAAAGTGTATATTTATTGACGTTGTAATAAATTTAGTGTGTTAGGGTTTTCTATTAAGCAAGAGAAGTTCAGTGTTCTAGCTGTTTAAAGTTTTTTTTTAACTTATATCACATGATAGATTCTCAGAGACATTTTAAAGCGACACCGTGACAGAAAAACGCGAAAATCGACAAAAGTAGAATTTATGTATGACACATGCAAATTTTGTTCAGTTCTTAAAAGTATTAGGTTTCAGAAAATTACAGGTTTCAGAACCTAAAAAATCTACTTTAATGGAGAAAAATTAAAAGTAAAAAAATCTTTGTATAACCCAACACAAAAATATTGCTTCACTTCTTCGTGGAGACCGGTCCTTCGGATGAGACCGTATAAACCGAGGCCCCGTGTCGCAGTAGGTGCTGGCACGAAAAAGATCCCTCACTGCTCAATGGCCGTAAGTGCCGAATATAGGACAAAATTTGCAGCTCTCCACCGGCAAGTGGTGGCGTCTCCATATGAGTGATAAATTCTCGAGAGGGACGTTAAACAACATACAAACAAACACTTTTTCCTCTTTATTGTACGCATGCGCTGAAAAGTTGAAGAATTTACCATGGTTTCCATTCCATAGATATAAATGTCGGATGATCGAGAATTTTTATACAATCTTCAAAAAAGATGATCAGAATTTATTTCTCACTTCTGCTTGCTCCAATTTAATGTTGTTTACAAGTTTCAGGCTAAAAATAAAGGACGGGTGATCTTGACATTGTGGACATTGGCGATAAAAACAAAGCGATAGATACATTTGTTTTTCCGGCACTTACATTTTGCAGCTTTTTTCTTGCTTTACAGTGCAGTTGAGTTGCCAAAACTTCGCTATATTCATATTTCACATAAATCTTTTTTGTGATACAACTTTCTTAAAAGAAACACATGAATTTGACTCATTATGTAACTTAAAGTAACATACGTACATGTAGATAACCAAAGCAACTACCCTATAGCAAGTATCGTGATGTATTTTAATATCAGAACTTAATTTTGTTCAACACATAATAAAATAATTAATTTGTGAAACATGTTATATAATTTAAACAGTACATAAAAACATTAATAATTAACTTTGACGTACGCACATTTTTATTTCACATTTTCGCATGCCTTACATACAGTACATATTTTGAAATGATAATGATTTATGCACAAAAGTTACTCAAAGCCTGCTCAAAGTTAATTTATTCAATAAGAATACAAAGTTGTCTTCACCTTGTTATTTCAATAAGGTACATAATAATGATGTAATGACTATACAATGATAGATTGTCTTATTTTACCTTGCGTGCAATTTATAATTAAGTTTCCTGTATGAATTCGAGTTTGTATGGGCACACAGAAACTGTCACACCTTGCTACATGTATTTAGCAAAATATTGTTCAAAATACCTTTTGTTTTATATTTCCAAATTGTTAAAAATGAACACTAAAATTATAAGTACAACTTTTAAATAATTTCACTCGTTCGCAAGAATTTTAATGTACATGTAGTAATAAGAGTCATTTGAGTTACCTTAAAAAAAAGAACTATAGTTAACTATAGTTTACCATTGTCAACTAAAGTTTACTACAGTAAATACTTTGATTTACTATGAAACTTTATTCTAGAATTTTTTAAAAGATTTTGAAGCTTGATATCTTTAAAATTCAATCTCAGCGATGTAAAATTTGGAAATTGGGCAGGCTTTAAAAAAATTCTTTTGTAGTTTACTTAAGTATAAACTATAGTTAACTAGTATTATAATAGTACTTTTCGTTATGATACTGCAAAGAAGCTAACGTGTCCCGGAAAAATTCAAATATATTTCAAATATGTTCTTTCTATTATTTGGTAAAAAGAGTTTTGGTGTTGCATGGTGCTCCACTAGATACAGCGTACAAATTAGCATACATACATACACTTCATATAAAGTCTCTTATGACAAAGCAATATCTTCTCTTAACATAAATTGATCAAGAGTAGTTATTTGCAAGATCCGACAACAATGTTCTATTTTATTGCGGTAATAACCCTAGGAAAAAAATGATAAATGGAAAGACAAACACAAGTTCATGCACAGGCCAAATGATGCATTCGTCTAATACAGTTTTCAGCTAAATCATGATGGAGAAAATTTTCACATAAAATTTAAACAAAAACCAAGGTATTCAAAAGTATTTGTATACCACATATATTTAATACACCCAAAAGTATATCTGGAGACATTACAAGACACAATTCTCGCTCGTTGTTCGTGTTCTTGACGGAATCGGTTCATTAAACATAACGGCAGGCGGAGCAGGCACATGATTTGGCGGACTTGAAAGTCACTTCACGCAACCCATCTGCGCATCTCACGGACACCGTAATCTAATAAAAAAAAATAAATGATAATTTTTAAGTATATCATCAGACAATGCAGGAAATGATAAATTACAGCAGTAGTTAAAGGAATCGCGTATAATGCAAAATAAGCCCCACTTTCTGGACCCCATGTGATATTAAAGACTGATTAATATAGCATATAAGTACAAATATGATAAAAATTGTTTAAGTTCTGTAAAAGAAGAATTTTTCAGAGGATTCAATTATGTCATTAATACATTGTCGAGATCGCTAAAATTGAATATCGATAAAAATTAATTCCGCAAATGACGTAAATGTTTTTCTTTAATTATAAATTCACTAAAATTACTTCTCGCTTAATATATATATATATATATAGAGAGAGAGAGAGAGAGAGAGAGAGAGAGAGAGATTTTTTGGGGACAGATTAATATTGCTGACTTTTCGTCGTTATGAATTCCACATACACGGTATTTGAGAGTGAGGAGGATATTTGTTGCAAGTAAACTAAATGTATGTATACTGTACAAAATTATGCTCAGTGGAACCATTTTTTCCGATTGGGAAAACACTATTGATTTGTAGTTTTAGTTTTTTTCCCGTAAAATTTGGAGATGGGCGAACATAGCGTGCAGAAAGCCTATAGCTTCAGAAATATAAAAATCATGTTCAGTTTGTGAATTTGATATTTAGAGTAAAGTTCTCATTATTGAAATGTATGAGATTGTGATAAAGAAAACTTTTCGGAGGAAAATTTTCTCGGCAAAATTTATTCTTTTATTAAAAAAAATTAATGTGGTACTCGTGGGGTTCGAACCCTAGCAATAAAAACCCTGAGTATCATTTTCTTTCGAGACTAGCACGCTAACCAGTAGACTACACAAGTCCTGACGAACATTGGCATTTAAATCATGTTTGTGATATGACCCTTGACTTAATGGACTTCAAGTATTTCTCGAAAAGATGCGAATTTTATGTCATAAAAGTATATTTTTAAGGTATAGTGGGTCATTGCTCCATATTTTTGGTAACCAAAAAATGTGTATTTTTATGCAAACTTTGAGGATTAACTTTCAAAAAGGTGGAGCGAAGACCCACTCATATCGAAAACAGTGTTATAGTATGAGAAAATGACTCTTTTTGCCCGCTTCAGTGTGTGTCTAATACTTCACAGGCAAATAATTTCAATCTTTGAGGGATTTTTGCAAATTCTAGAGATTTTATATAAAGTATATGTTAATGTTAGACGAAATATCAAGGAAAATTTTGATATAATTGAAATTTAATTTTTCATCACCATGTTTGTCACACTATAGGCTTATCGCTCGTCATGTTCACCCATCTCCTTTCCTGATTTCCTCTACATTATTTCACTCTTACAAAAAAAAATCTAGATCTTTCTTGCACATATATGTTTAAGAAAAAAGAATGAAGATAACACTTAATCCACAAGGCTAAATATAGTTTTATAAAAATAAGGCCTTTGTTACAAGTCAGTAGGTATTAAAAGCAGCAAAAATGTGACCGTTTTCCTTTTGCATTTGGCAGAAATTCTCAGTAAGATGGACAATTTTTCAGTAAATTGGACAAATTAACTTCCAAAGAAATGTTTTATTTTTGTAGAGTGTAATCGTGTATTGATTCCTTAGTGGTTTTAAAGACAATTTTAAATACAGCAAAATTCAAATCAACAATTAGAATGTAACAAAGTAAGTATTCAGCATAATTCACCAATAACCAGTTATTCAAATTCGGAAAAAGAGGGTTAAAAATCTAGGTGATTCTAAAGCTGATCAGATTTGTCCTTATAAATTAAGTATCTTTAATAATGCCTTGCTTACGTCATGTGTCTCTTCTATTCCACAGCATTCCGCTCGAGATGTCAAAAAATGGCGTTCATTGGCTAATAGTGTTCTTTGAGATGATGGAATAGCATAGGACTCGCAAAAGCCTCGGCAGGCATTTGTTGTAACATTAAACTGCAGGCAACCCGGAATTTGAACTGTCCTTGTGTGACCTGGAAAAAAAATCAAAAGCAAAAATTGTCAGAATGTCAGCAATCAAATCGCCTGTATTCCATTAAAACCGATTATATTCAATATTAAGTGGTTGCTTTGTTTGTTGACTAAATCTGGCATTTATGATTACTTTGATGGTAGGATTTCAGTTACTGGACGAGGGAACTTTTCGATTGCACTTTGTGATAGACCCGGATGTAATGATTTAATGTGATTTGATGAGTAAAATAACAAATTAAAAGAAAATTACGGCGAATGTGAATTTGTGATAACCCTAGCTAGAAATAAAGGTGCAACTTTGTTTTATTGCACTTCATGTTGATGTTTTTATCGTTCATTTTAATGGGAGGAGAAACAGGACCCGTTTACCGACATAAAAATATTGAATTGAGCAAAACATTATTTTGTTCAAATAGAGGAAATTAAAAACTATTAATAACTTTGTGTGTTCTTATTCGAACGTGACAACTGAGCGTTTCACACGTTACACATAAAGTTTTGATAGTGAAATTGAAATATTAATAGTGATTTGCCGTTTTCAGTTTAATGAAAAATATACTGTCATGTTTGATGCGTGACAAATTATGCCATCTAAGTGTCTGCAACAATGTCACCTACTGAATAAGGCTTGTGTTAACTAATCGACAGCACCATCCATGGACATTTTGTATGAAAAACAACTGTGCACAAGAATTGATGAGTTAATAAAACTTGTTATCAGAATCCCCCTAATCACTGTTCGGAGAATTTTCCTAAAATCATTTTTATTTTGCTATGAGAATTTTAAAAATTCCCTAAAGAGAGTTTTTCTTCTGTCTCATTCAGCAAAAGAAGGTATATTTGCAACCAGAAACCGCTTAGAAAGGATAAATTCTCGAATCAAAGTACATACAAAACAAACATGGTTTTCTTAGTTGATAGGGGAACAAAAGCAAATTGTATTTTTAGATAAACGAGCTCAAGAATGAAAAGTGTCTAAGTAAAACAAACTAAGATATTTTACTTACAAATCACAACAGATAATTTTTTCCAATTCTTAAGCGTCAAAGATAAAAATATACAGAATTTTCTAATGATATTTTTGTCTCATACTGTCGAGAGGGACAGGTTTTCAATTCGTCCGTTTTCCACACTTTAAAAAAAAAAAAAAGACCGATATTGGGCAGATTTTTTTTCGGGGGGGGGGGGGGGGATGCGAGTTTACCTTCATAAGATAAGAGACTACGTTGCACTTCGTTCTACTTTAATGAATTTTGATAGATTTACTGTCCTTGGACTGGGTTGATTTGTTTATCTATGCAAGTCTTTCTTCTTTGAATACTTATTTCATCCCGTTTGGCTAATTTTTGACAGGATTAAAGATTCGTCACTTTTTAAAAATATTATTCATTTTGTATATTCTAAACACCTAGTTTTCAAAGTTTAAGCCATGCATACTTCCTTTATAGCAACGAAAGTCAAATTTCCTTCGCGCTTTTTTTTTTGGGGGGGGGTCCTTAAAGTCCCCAATGAGCCTACTCTTTCTCCAAAAAAATATGACTGACTTATTTTCTTAAGAGAATTTCCACTACCTTTGGTGGTAGAGGACTCGGGATTGCATATGCAGTACTCTCAAACGGTTTTTGTTACACACGTAGTACCATCTTCAAGTTATGAATTTGCAAAACTCCAAGCAATAGAGCTTTTGTAGTTTTTCGTATTACGTACCAAATATTATGAAATTTGAAATTCAGGTATTAATTACGACATACATGTAGTATCAAATAATATAAATGATAAATGTTGAAAACACGCGCATGTACTTGAGCCGAGCTCGGAGTTGAACTAGTAAATAATTTTTACCTTTTTTCTCACTTCTGATTTCTTAATTTTTTTTAATTTCTTACCAGGTAAATTTGAATGAAATACTTTGAAATCTTTAGCGTAGATATATATAATAAGTTATTTTAGTAGAAAACCCCCACTTGCATACAAGTTGATGAAAATCCGGCTGATTATATGGTTATACATAGCTCTTACTTTATTAGATTAGAGTAAAACTAGAGGACAAGTGAGTGAGCTTATTAACGCATCCCCATACCACCACTCCCAAGCTGATTGCATCTAATGCAAATGAATGGATAAGACACAAATTTTACACCTTTTCTCGACTATCCGGAATGATCACATCACACCTTCACGTCACAGGCCATCGTGTTTCTATCATCTGACCTTTCAATGTTTTCTGTTTACACGATACATTACATTTTTTCTACAGTACCGTTATATTTGGGGGAAAAAAAAAAAAAAAAAAAAAAAACACTTGGGCTAAGTCATGCAACACCCGTGGGTCATGCGTAATCTTTGTGTAAAGTATGAACTTCCAACGGTTCTCGTTAAAAAGTTAGAGCCTGACAAATACATGTATTACACACTTCTTCAGCCAGTGAATTTGAACTTCCACAAATGACTGCAGGTAAAGTTCATGACATACTCAACTTTCCAACGTGTCTCTATTGGAAAATTACGCAAATTATACACTTTTTCTGCCAAGAGCATTGATCCTGCCAAAAATGACCTTGTCAAGGTTACGACACAGGTTTACTTCAAGCATTAGTTAGCAATAAGATAATGGTCCACACAAGATTTCAAACACTGTTGAGGACCTGATATCAAATAAAGGTTTGAAACGTTTTCTTTCCTACTGATTTCTTCCTCTACGTCTTTAAAATTCGTTTCACACATAATTGTTACCTTGAAGGAAACAACACGCATATACCATAAAAAAAGGATCCTAAACCCCCTTGAGAATGCATGCTTAAGTTGCTACTTTTAAACATTCTTCGAGTATCTATTTCTAGCAGGATTTGACATGTGAGCTCTGGACCCTGTTTAACTATAGAGCTTACGACTTAAACCAAAAACTTCAGTTGATTGTAAAATCTTGCAAAATAAATGTATCTGTTACAAAATTGTTTCCATGAAAAAATTCAAATGTCTTTTTAAAAGGTTAACTCAATTTCAAATATTTTCAACTTATGATATCAAGTTATTAACAAAATAACATTTTGATAGTAGTCGTAAGCTCTTTTATAAAACGGGGCCCTTGTCTTTTAAGGGAATTGAGGTGACCTGTATTGTTGACTTTTTCATAATGCTTTCAAAGGATACCGAATTTCTCTCTTCCCAATAGGAGGGATATGTAATCTGGACTTTCAAGAAACTAGAATGAAATATGAAGATAACGAACAGTATTCAAGCTCAAGAGTCCGTTGAAACAATACATAGAACAAGGTTCACTTTGGACCTTTTTTGGCCCTGTGAGTTTCTGAAAAATGAAAAAATGCTCTGTTTTAGTTCAATATATATTAAACTTTACTTCGATCCTTGCTGACTGCATAACTATTAAAATTGACGTTTTGTTTGTGTTTGATTGTATGTTGTTTAACGTCCCACTCGAGAATATTTCACTCAAATGGAGACGCCACCAGTTGCCGGTGGAGATAGAGCTACAAATTTTGTCCTATACTCGGCACTTACGGCCATTGAGCAGTGAGGGATCTTTTTCGTGCCAGCACCTACTGCGACACGGGACCTCGGTTTATACGGTCTCATCCGAAGGACCGGTCTCCACGTCCCACGGTGGGATTAGAACCCGCGACGTAAGGATCAACTCTTTACTACGCGACTCTAGAGCAGACGCTCTAACCACTGCGCCACGCGGGCGACTTAAATTTGACGTTATTTTCTCGCTAGTTCATGCATTATGACGTCATGAATTGTGTCATTATTCCAAAATTCTGAAAAATTCTTCAGAAATGGCCAAAAACATAAGCTGTTTTTCAATATTTTGCATAGACCCCATCTTCTGATCTAAAACGTTGAATTATATAATGAAAGTGCTATTTCAGAAGATTATGTTCCATGTTTTATTTTTTGGATCGCAGGGTGGGCTTATATTTTAATCCTTTGTGAAGGTGCTCAAATACATCCATTTTCGTCATAATTCAAGAACATTACATTTTCACAAAGCCAATTTTTTCAATATCTGGATTCCGAGAGGAAACGTTTTTATGGGAAATATTTGTGTAGTTTGCCTCGTTTTAGGAATTGTTTGTAGTCGCCTGCGTGGCGCAGTGGTCAGAACGTTCCCTCTAGAGTCGCGGAGTAAGGAGTTGATCCTTTGATCGGGTTCGAATCCCACTGTAGGACGTGGAGACCGGTCCTTCGGATGAGACCATATAAACCGAGGTACCGTGTCGCAGTAGGTGCTGGCACGAAAAAGATCCCTCACTACGCAATGACCCTTAGTGCCGAGTATAGGTCAGAATTTGCAGCTCTCCATCGGCCAGTTGTGGCGTCTCTATATGGATGAAAAATTCTCGAGAAGGACGTTAAACAGTAAAAAAACAAACGTAGAACATAATCATGCACATCAAATCAACTGGGAGATATAAACTCCATATGCAGGTGATAATGATATATTTATACATACACAAGGGAAGGAAATTGACAAAGAAAAGCTGAAGTCATAACGTTTATCATAAAATTTTGTTGTTAAAAATACCATTAACATCTGTGCCAATAGAATGTGGTTGCCCCTCAAAATATTACATTTCTTTTGAAACATGAAAAGAAATGTGTCCAGTTTGTTCAGTCTGAGTTAATGGTAAAAGATGATGATAGAGAAATTATTAATTTTCAATATTTTTCACTGAAACCTTTAATAGTTTGCTACCTTAGTAGCATGGTATGTAGTGTTGACCCAACCTAGCCTTTAAAAAAAAAAAAAGATTTATAATCTACAAATATGTTTTTCATGTTTACATGCAAGAAAAAAAAATGTGGAATTTTGAACCATTTCGACTTACCGTACTTCCGTACCAAGTTTAAATAAAATCAGACCAAATCTATTCGAGAAATGACAATTTTGTAAGAATTTTGAAGATACTATTTTCCGAAACCAAGCCGATATCTTGCTGAAGTCGACATTTCACTAATATCAGATATGGCCTTTTAAAAATCTGATGACAGACAGAGGATAAAAGATACCTCACCAATACATAATCTCTTCTTTCATACGAAAGAAAAAGCAGAAAAAAATTATAGAACAGTAGAGATGGCAGCAGGTCGTTTCCAATAAAGACAAAACCCCAATTCAATAATCTCTATTGTTCGTATTATACTGTTCTAGGGGTTTTAACACTGAATTGTTAAATACTTCGTCCTGTGCATCGTGTGTGCTGAAAGCAAACTCTAAGCACAAGTTTCTGATTTGGCAGGTGTGGAAACTTTTCGGAAAGGATTAGAATGTATAATTAAATATACATCGTACATTTATAATACAGTGTTAGATCTGCGACGCAATTATCAGAAGCATAACGAAGATTGAAGACATTAATTACAGGATTTGGACTAGTAAATAAATGGATATATCCAGGGTAGAAAGCGAAGCATATCATCATTACAAAGAGAACCGATATTTGTTTCAGATAAATATGCTAATATATTTGATTCTTTCAGCAGTAGGCATCAATGTTAAACATACTAGTAATAAACACGACAAACTTTAAGATTAATGTCTGGGTATATATCATCACCGCGTGTCTATAGAAGTAAACAATGCTTAGGATGTTCTGTAAACATTTGAGGAAATACAAGCTGGGAGGATTCACGATCAGCGGAAAAAATAGCAGTACTCCTTGAAAATTAAAAATGGAGTTCCAATCATCACAAAATCACTGATTAAGTTTGTGTTTATCCCAAACAGACCACTTAAAAATGAGAAAAGAACTTTTAAGGGTACATGAAACCTTAGCTTTATTAAACAAAAGTGAAACATAGAGGCCATCAACAAGCCACTCAATTTTTTTTATATCTCTGCCAAAACAATGCTTGTTTCTGCCTCTTACTCTTGTTTGCTCAAGAGCAAGATTACAGAGGGGAGATTACGAAAAGTTACTTTCTGTAGTTTCACATGCAAACAGGAAAGTCCAGAATGTTGATAGTGGATTTGTGTTCTTTGGAGGGAATCGGTGGATAAAATAAATGAGAAAATATGGATAACTGAATCATGATACTTGCTTCAAGGAAAATATCAGAGAGATTAATATTCTTTGTTTTGTTTGAGTAATTATCTAGCATGCAGCAGAAAAGTCCATCTTAAGTCTTGTCTAATCTGTCACATTAGATATAAAAACACCCTTGATCTGCAGGTAATGTATGATTAAGGGTCGGAGTAGTGCATTGCTCAGTTTTGATCTTGTGTAGTCCCTGGACGTTCACTTAAATTCAACCATTCATTGTTGTAATTGCGATTAATAATGTCTTGCGTTTCCGCCGTCCTGTTTATGTATTTTCTCCAAAATTTCCATTCTCTTGATACCAGAGTGGTGTATCAATATTTCAGAACTTGTAACTTCCCCCAAAGACCTTATACAATCAAAGCAATAAAATATACTCTTTACCACAATGAAGTACTGTTTACAACATTATATCAATTGCCTTCTTTACAGAATTGTATTGTTTATGGATTTTTGGAGATCGAACACTGTTCGTTATCTTCACCTTTTTCATCCATATCATGGATCCTCTTGCCAAGGAGGTACAACCTCCTCAACATAAGTTCATTGACTTAAAAGATGTACTTATGGATCATCAGTTGCACACATAATCTGTCGGGAATTAAATGACAGAAGCCAACATGAGATACATGGATTATGCAGGCTGATAATGACATTCACATTACAAGACTATTCCCAGGGATCTTTGTTCCTATTAGCGCTTTATTTTCGGGAACACTAAGTTTGAAGGGGAAAAAAAAACATCTATGCCGATTTTTCTGCAAAGAGAGATTTTAATGCATCTTTCTTAGTGACACTAAAAAAATATTGGCCGAAATACTGCTTGGTGTAAGTCAATTATTAAGTATACGAGTTATAAACTGATAAAAAAAAGTCCCTCTCTATTAGGACAGGTAATATTCCGACTTCTTATGTAAAGCTAATTGAATGGCACGGCTACTGTTTTGATTCCTTCGTGAAAAATTTTGGGAGGTAAATACATTCAAAAGGCATAAGGAGTTTGATCTGAAAAATTTTGATCTATACATCTTAATGAGTTACTTATCTGTATTTAGTCGATGGTTATTTGTTCTACCATATCTTCAACTGTTTTCCCAAATTATTAACGACCATCCCACACCCACCATTACAAGATATTTTCAATGGAAAAATCAAAATGCAAAAATGAGGTAAGTTAAATCCCAATGTACCTTGTTTTGTATGTAAAACTTTTCTCACTTGCATTGTAGACGCACCAAAATGAACTCTCATATGATTACTTACCCATTCTAAAACATCCAGCGTTTTGTAAAGACCGTGGATCAAATGAACATAGCACAGATTGTACGAAAAAGAAAAGTATCCACGCACAATTAAAGCTCATCTTTAGCGCTTCCTTCAAGTTGCATACCCGAAATGCAGAGGTCCATATTCCCTAATAAATCTCCAATTAGTAGGTTTTATTCTTGAGGTCCACCCGTGTGATAACAGGCAAGGATTGACGTTAAACGGCAAACAACACCCCCACATTCCCAGGCATGACGATTGATTCGTCACCGGAAGCTCAAAAAGATGATACAAATGGGACTTCTATTGTAGAGAGCGCGACAAATCTCCAATATAGCTTTTCAGCTGAGATATAATATGTCGATATTCATATAGTTTTGATCAATACATACCATATCTAAGTCTTTATAAAACTGTCATACAGAGCAAGCATGTGTTTAATAGAGATGTCTTTACGTATCTGAAGGTCTAGATGTGCCATGTGAATATTAATGGTCACATTTTGTTAACACTTTAATGAATAATCATTGTGGTAATTTACAGCTGTAAGAAATACATGATTGAGGTCGACAAAAAATGTTAATATACATTTCAGAATTTGTTAAGCGAGTTCAGAATTATTAATCTAAATATAAATGGTCAATGCATAACAGTAACAATATTCTGATACTCCTTATTAATACGTATTTAATAAGTTGTTCGTTAAATTTTGGGATGTACACACCTTTACTTCGAAAAAAAAAAAGACATGGTGCAGGAGTGGCATTGGGCAGTTTGATGTCCACAAATAATCTGTCACATTAACACGCAATCTAACTGGCTTTATATGAAGTTACATGTGTTCTTTGTGTAAACCACCATAATGTACAAAATGTTTATACATAGTATACAATGCATGGCGTATTTGGTTTAAGATACTTACAACTGTATAATCATTACTGAGTTAAAGAAATTAAAAACAAGAATCCTTGTATACACCTTGACTGATTGAGTGTTAGACTTTAATCTATGGATAATTGTCTTGTTTTGAATTATTGGATGGACTTAAGCTTAACATTGACGATATACTCTAAACTCGTGGTGACAAAACAAACAAAATTCGCACGTTTGAGGGGAGTTACCTGAGAATGAGACGGGATTGTTTCCTTCCGCATTCGGTTCTTTGTACACTTTAATACTTTAAGTGGGAGTATTCTCAGATCAAATATATAACATTTACCTTTTAGAAAGGTGGGTGGGGAGCAATTTTACTTAGACGTATTTTTTTGTATGTGCACAGCTTTATGTATCTAAAAGACTTTGTTTTAAGATTACATTGAGGTGATATATACACAGGCAAAAGTGGCGTACATAAATTTTTTATGAAATTCGCATGAATTTCATATGAATTCTTTGCATGAAAAAGAGATGAAAACTAAATCACATGAAATTTATGCGAAAACTTAATGTGATTTTGACCTAATTTTCATATGAGTTTCATACGAATTAAAATTCACACGATATTCATGCGAAAACTTTTATGCACATTCATTGGATGATATGGTGAATAATAACATTTCATTTCACTTGAGAATCTCACTTTAGATAGACAATTATTTTTTCTAACTGTATTAAATTTATATCCTGTGTTTATATTAATTACAATAATTGTATAATCATACAACTGGAACAATCACAACAAACACTGTGGGTTTTTTCAATCTTCTTTATTTGAAGCTTCAATTTTTTTTTAACAATTCGCTGTTCAGTGCAACCCATCGTTCTGGAGACTGTTTCATCTACAAAATAAAAAAAAATTGCTTATATCATCCTGCATGAGATTTTGGTATTAACGCTACTTTAATTGCTGTATCATACAACAGGTAGTGGTATGTATATTTAAAGTTCCTACATGCAATTTTGTATAAATGTGACCATGAACTTGCCAAAATTTTTTTGGTTTACAAAATTATACATTGTCTGGTCATACTAATCTATGCGTGAAATGGATATACCAAGTTTCCCCATTCGAGAATAATATATGAAAATGCCAATCAGGTCTTATTATGTACCTTTTTGTAAGAATTTGACCCACAGGGACCACTATTTACAAATGGATCATTCAATATTTAATAATACACATGTATGAATGACTTATCGTAGCTTTACCTTTCTTGAAAAGATTTTTAAAGAACTTTTCTCAATATAATATTCCCATGTTAAACTTTGATCCCCCTAAACTAGCCCACCCTACCCTCTGTGCAATGATTAGAATAAACTTGAATCTACAATTTGTCAGAAAGGTTTCATGAAAATTTCACCTTCTGTGGCCTAGTGAATTTTGATGAGATTTTTTAAATTTCCTATTAGTAATTTTTTCACTCTTTCTTAATTATCTCCCTTGAAAGATGGCAAATTTAATATAATAACCCATTTTATCCATATGTGCTATGTGGTAAGTTGGTTGAATTTGGCAAGGTGCTTCTGAAGTAGAATCCACAATTGTTTAAAGTTGACAGAAAGATGGACAGACTGACAGACAATGTTGACAGGTGATCAGAATAAAATTTAAAATTTGGTACGGGTGAGTAGAAACCTTACCATAGCATCAATATTCTTCTTGAATGTCCTCCAGAAGTCGGTGGAAGTTGCGCTGGAACTTTTTGAATAACTTACGTCCGTCGGCGAATGCTCTCTGTAAACAAAGTGGAAAAAGCACCAGCAAGCAGAATGCACTGTTAATTTCACAAATTCTACCTGGTCCTGAGAAGAACATATTTGTTAAAGTAAGAAAAAAATTGATTTTAGATAATAAGTGTATTGAATGGTGTCAATTTATTTACTGCTTTTTCTGCATGATATGTATATTAAAGGGGGGATAATAGAAAAATCTTACCAGGACAAGGGTCACTTGGAAGTTTTTCTTTTCACCCATGGAGGATGGACAAACTCAGAAGGCACTGTAGGGGTACCTCTGCAGTGCATTCAGAGGCATCCTCTCCAAATTTGTTCTGGAGTGACCAGCTGAAATACAGTATATGGCACCTGATCCCACCTCTGATGTTTTAGAGGTCCGTGTTTGCTCTGCTCCAAAATTTGTATTGTTTAATGGACTTTTGAGCTTGAATACTCTTCGTTATCTCTATACATTTCACATACATGTAGGTAAAAATATTTATACATATATAATTAATACATGTACTTTTTATGGATTGATCCGAATATCAAAAATACCGCGTACATCACCATAATCTGCATCCCAATTATTTTTCAAAGCATATTATTTTTATTTTTATGAATGCTATAGTTATAGTGAAATAAATTGTTATATCTAATTAAGTTAACTTCTGCCTACTTGGTTCCTCCACTTTGTGAAGGAATGGGAGGCAAATGAGAAGCATGTAACCAGCATACTCCCATTTACCTCCAAACCACAATGGCCCAATATGGCTGTAATGTTTTGCTGAAAAGAGGAGAAAAAAGAATTTCAAAAAATGATGTAAATTTTTGCCCCCAAAAAATTCGGGTAAAAATGAAATGAAATTTTGGAATTTTAACAGGCTGCTAGCTATAAAGAGTAACGACATGTTAGTATATAAGAATCAGTAGAGGAAAATGTATATAGTAAATAAATACTTAATTTCATGATTAAGTAGTTTTATGAATTATTTTACAAACATCAAAAAAAAAAAAAAAAAAAAAAAAAAAAAAAAAATTCATAACCAGGTGATCTGTGTTATGATTCTTGGATATTTCCAACAAAGATCAATTAGAAACAAAACTCCATGAATAACCAATGACCTGTCATGTAAATTTATAACCTCGATATTTAATTTTATGAACAATGACATCCTAGTTCTTTTAAAGATGTAAAAAAAAAAATAATAATGAACTTCAAAAATTTTATACTTGCAGCAAATAGACATGTCAAAAGATAAATAGAATGATAAGAAATTTGACCCCAATGATACCTTAATTTGAATAAATGCTGTAGATAGACATAATGATTCTAGAATCCCTAAAGCTTGTATGCTGGGAGAAACTGGGGCATAATGAACATTTTTTTCCAATTCATGGTATGGCTAATCGGTATACCAGGCACAAGCAAACAGCTGGTCAACAAAGGAACCCTTAATTTACACAAAATAGATGACAATAAGGTAACAAAAAGACAGTATTGAAAACAAAGTTAAAAATAATGCATTGTTCAAAAACGTTGCTCAGTCAGACATAATCATAATATATCTTTTATGTAAGAATTCACAAAATAATTATCGCTCTTGTAAAGACTATTACTTAGAATACATTGCTCTCCTTGAAAAGAACTATATTTATAGTTGTTGGCTTTTATATCTTAATTTTCATTACAAAAGATGTAGGAAAAAGGTGGTGTATTTGAAGAGGGGTGGCTCATAGCAACTGCTGAGGGTACACATTTTCAACTGGCACAGATCCGCAGAGTAAAACCGTTGAACAACTCAAGACTGGATGATATAGCCTTTGAGAGAGTTGCTCTTACAGAAGATTTTGTAGTTGTTCCTGTTTCTAGGATTCTGAGTATTATTTGTTTGGTGCATGACTGTCAGAGTGAGGGATGTCGTATGAAAGATGGTTTGTTGAGTGTGCGTGTTGAGCAAGAGATGAAAGATGTGAGAAAGAAATTTTGGAAACATAAGCGAAATGTTGTTTATTATTTAAACAGATTCAGTTTTGCGAATCCCAGCAACTTTTCAATGCGTCAACCAAGACCACATGTCTCGAATTTAAACCACAATACAAAAGTAGGCTAGGGGTGCATAAGAAACAAAGGTTTGTTAGATTTATTCATTCATCAAGATTCAGGACTTACAGACTCTTCCAAAATTTACATTAGGACCTCGGGTCATACATTCAGTGTAACCTTCATTAATAAATACTTTATGAGAAATATGTGAACATGACTCTTTGCAATATGTGATTGCACTGAAACGCATTTTGAATCGTGTAGATCCGTCATTGACATTTGATGATAAATTTGAAGCTTCATTTAATGTCCTCAGCTTTGTCAATTTATAATCATGAGAACAAGTCTTAATGCCTCTTGTCAACATTAATGTCCCTGCTTTACAAAAAGGATATCGGTGATCAACAAAGTTCACTCAGGTCATGCATCTCATCATCATATATATGAAGTGAGGAATTTAGTGTGAATATTTATCCCAAAATGCTACACCACCAATTCTTGGATAAGAATTTTACTCTTTAAGACCAAATAGTTTTTATACTCTTTAAGACAAAATT